GTGCAACACCAACATGATTTGGGTATGGCACTTTCAACGCTGAGTTATAAAAGACATGGTGGCTTCTGTCATTTTCTCACTTAGATCACTTGCTCTGGGGATGTCAGCTGCCATTTGTCAGGGGAGGCTCATGTGACAAAGAAATAATGCCTTCTGCTAAAAGCCACATGAGTGATATTGGAAGCCAGTTCTCTAGGTGGCTGATGATGGTAGCCCCTGGTAACAGGTGGATTGCAAGCTCGAGACAGACCGTGCTGCTTCCAAATTCTTGACCCATAGAAACCGAGATGATAAATGTCTGTGGTTGTAAACGCCTACATTTGGGGATGATGTGTTACAGGCAATAGGTAACTGACACAGAGGGTGAAAGCGCTTAGCCCAGGGCTTGGCACATGTTTGGCACCGTAGAATATTCAGGATCTGCAGCTCTGGAGTTCAGGCGACAGGGCTGGGCTGGATATACGGGTCTGGGAACCTTTGGCTTAGTGGTAGTAATGGAATCCATGGAGGTGACTGAGCCAGTGCATCAGAGAGCAGCAGACAAAGAGGAGAGGATGGTCTTAAACACAAACCCGGACATAGCTGGGCCTGGTGGCCCACGTCTATAATCACAGTGACTTGAGAAACTGAGGTGGGAGGATTATAAATTTGAGGCCAGAGCAGGCAACTTAGTAAGACTCTGTCTCAATATTTTAAAAAAGAGCTGGAGATAGGGCTCAATGGTAGAGTGCCCCTGGGTTCAATCTCCAGTACTTGGGGCGGGGGCATTAGCGGGGAGGAAAGAAAGAAAGAAATTTGGGCATAAAAGCCAAGCACAGATAGCATACACTCCTGTAATCCCAGCTGCTTGGGGGGCTGAGGCAAGAGAATATCAAGTTCAAAGCCAGCCTCCACAGCTTAGTGGGGCCTTAAGCAACTCAGTGAGACCCTGTCTCTAAATAAAAAATGTTGCTCAGTGGTTAGTGCCCCTAGGTTCAATCCCTGGTACTGAAATAATAAATAAATAAATGGAATTATCAAATGGAACCCAGCATCATATTGAAGAAACTATATGTCACAAATGTATCCCAGGAATGAATGAATGGTTTCATAAAATCCATGATAATAATTTGTTTTATTAGGGGGAAAATTTTACATTTGATAAAATTCAGCACTCATTCATAGTAAAGCAGAATAATGCTTCCTTACACTGAAAAAAGGTTTATCAAAATCTATGACAAACACTATTGTTAATGGTGGCACATTAGAAGCAGTGGAGAACTACTATCATTACTGCTATACTGTGTAAGGGAATTTAGCACAGAAAAAAACAAGTAAAAGAAAATAAAATAAAGCCAGGACAGGAGATGCAAACTATCTTTACTTGCAGACTCTATGATGTTGAAGATGAAGATGATGATTTTTGGGTATTGGGGATTAAATTTAGGGGCACTCAACCCATGAGCCACATCCCCAGCCCTATTTTGAATTTTATTTAGAGACAGGGTCTCACTGAGTTGCTTAGCACCTCAATTTTGCTGAGGCTGGCTTTGAACTCGAATTCCCCCTGCCTCAGCCTCCCTAGTCGTTGGGATTACAGGTGCGTGCCACCGCACCCGGCTCTATGATTATTCACACAGAAAATTCAAGAGAATTTACAGACTTATTAGAACAAAAAAAAGTTCATTAAGTTTGATGAATAAAAAATGATTTGACAAACCAATTTTATCTCAATATCCATAAGCAAATGATGAAATATAAATATATATGATAATATAATTTACAATAACTATCAAGCCTTTAAGGAATTGATCAGACAAAAAACAAAACAAAACAAAATCACTGACAAAGTTAATCCTCTGCAGTCTTTATTTCGGGGAAACAAAAGACTTGAAAGAGTAGATGACTTTTTCAAGGACACCATTAAACTGGAAGCAATTTTGAATTTTCAGTGGCACTGAATCCTAGAGATCTAAGTCTTGAGTAATTTCTGTTTTGTCCTCTTGTAAAAAATAAACCTCATTGTTGGGCTGTGAGTATAGCTTAATGGTAGAGTAGGTATTACTTGCAAAACCTTGGGTTTTATCTATCTTCAGCACCACGAAAACAAACACCATGTTTCAGTTTAGATGTGAGGTATCCCCCAAAAGCTCATGTATGAGACAGTGCAAGAACGTTCAGATGTGAAATGATTGGGTTATGAGAGCCTTAACTCACTCAGCAAATTAATCCCTTGATGGAGATTAATCAAGTGGTAACTGAAGGTAGGTAGGGGGTGGTTGGAGAAGGTGGGCATTGGGGGGTATACTTGTGGGGGATATATTTTGTATCTGTCAAGTAGAGTCTCTCTTTCTGCTTTCTGGAGCCATTCTCCCAGCTGCTTTCCTCCACCATACCCTTCCGCCATGTTCTGCCTCACCTCCAGCCCCAAGGAATGGAACCAGCTGTCTTTGGACAGACCTCTGAAACCATGAACTCCAGATAAACCTTTCCTCCTCTGAAATTGTCTTATCAGGTCTTTTAGTCACAGCATTGAAAAAGCTGACTAAAACACACCCCTACCACCAAACTCACTGTATTTTTCTGATTATAAATTCAATATCCATATAAAAGTCTAGACAATAAGTAAAATTAAGAAGAACACTAAGAAGTAATAAGTCTTAGGCTGGGGATATAGTTGATAAAGAGTGCTTCCCTCACATGTACATGGGCCCTGGGTTCAAACCCCAGCACCACATAAATAAATAAATAAATAAATGTAATAAGTCTCTAACATTTACATTTTATTACCTGCACACTAAGATTAATGGTGGGGTGTTTTTCCTTTGAAATAACTGTCTATGTATATTTATTTATTTATTATTTATTTTGGGAATTGAATCCAGGGGTGCTTTACCACTGAGCTGCAACCCTAGCCCTTTTAATTTTTTTTTATTTTGAGGCAGGGTTTCAGAAAGTTGCTTAGGGCCTAGCTAAATTGCTGAGGGTGCTTTTGAACTGGTGATCTTCCTGCCTCAGCTTCCCACGTGGCTGGGATTACAGGTGTCTTTCATGGTGCCCAGCATACATATGTTTTTAAAAGCAAAATTAGGATTGTACCATGTATACTATTTTGTGTACTTATTATTTTCACAAACACTTCCCTGTATCCTCACCTAGTTTTTGTGAATATGTTAATGTACTCAGTGATGTTGATGAAGCATGTTATTTACTTAGTCTATCCATTGGAGTGTGTGGAGAAAATCCAAATATCAGATATGACTGTGATGATCATATTGATTAAGAGTTCAAGGGCTGGGAATGTGGCTCAGCGGTAGCGCGCTCGTCTGGCATGCGTGCGGCCCGGGTTCGATCCCCAGCACCACATACCAACAAAGATGTTGTGTCCGCCGAGAACTAAGAAATATATATTAAAAAAAAAAAAAAAAAAAAAAAAAGAGTTCAACTTTGAGCTGGGCAGGGTGGTGCACTCCTGTAATCTCAGCTGCTCAGAAGGCTGAGACAGGATGATTTCAAGTTCAAAGCCAGCCTTAGTGACTTAGGGAGGCCCTAAGCAACTTAGTGAGATCCTCTCTTTAAATAAATAGGCCTGGGGATGTGACACAGTGCAGTGAGTTTAATCTAGGTTCAATCTCTGGTACCATAAAAAGAAAAAAGTTCAACTTTGAGAAGCACCTCTCACCTGTGCAGACATGAAATCTAGCTGAGGCAAGTGGTTCTCCTGGAGAAGGGAAACGGGCAAAACCAATATCATATAACTGGGAAAAGCATTTGGAAGGAGATCAATTAGCTTTAAGGCTTTAGGTATTCTGCACCTTTAGACATGGCAACCTCCACCAGCTCAACTAGGGCAGAGCTTCTAGCCTCCAAGTCTTTGCACGACGTCATTTAGGCTGTTGCAGTTGGCTTTGTCCTCTCCATCTGGCTGCCCTTGGCTGCTCTACCCACGGGGCCGGATAGGTGGCCCCAGGGGGTTCCTTAAAGTCCTTTTTATAGGGCGTGCTTCCTAATACAGGACAAGGCCAGGAGGGGCTCTGGACACATGCGGGGAGTTCAGATCTTCCTTGCCTACAGCATCTGAAGCAGGGGTTCCCTTCCCTTATTTCCACCGAAGTCTTCTAATTATGCCCCTCTCAACACTAAACACCTATATTTTGTCAACTAGYTGTTTCCTTGAGTCTTGGAGCCCGCCGTGATTTTAGTGGCCGCTGTACTCCCCAGGCTTGGCACGTAGTGGGTAGGGTCCATACAAGTTTGTGAAATGAATGAGGAGAAACACCTGTGGAGACACCAGCGGAGAGCACACAGCGAAGAGAGGGCACAGACTTTGAGGGCGCGGGAGTGGGAGGACCCGGGACTGCACGCGGAGGCGGGGAGCGGGGACGTATCCTGGGCGGGGCTTAGATAGCCGGGGCGGAGCCTTGGGGCGGGACTGGCGCTTTGGGGCGGGGCTTCGGGGCTGCGGTACAGCCCGCCTGACCGCTCAACTCAGGCTGCGCTTGCTGAATTCCCCCGACTGCCGGGCTCTCTGGCTTCCGTGGCCTCCCGCCCGCGCCGCCGTTAGGGGGCGCCCGCGCTCGTGGCGCCGTAGCTCTGCTGGGAAGGCGCCGCCCGCGCTGGGCAGCTGGAGCCGCAACTCCGGGCGCCGGCTCAGTCGTCCCTTCTGCCGCCGCCGCCGCCACCGCCTCCGGGCGCGGGCTCGCTCGTCCCCGCGCTCGCGCCCTCCGGCCGCCGGCATCTCCCGGCTGGGCCGCCGCCGCTGTCGCACAGTGAGTGGGGCGGGCGCAGGGCTTACGGGGCCCGGGCACAGGAGGGCCGGGGATGGGGAGAAGCCGGCGCCCGGTGGCTAGGGGAGCGGAGCTGAGAGGATTGGGCAGGGACGCCTGGAGCCGGGAGGTGGCGGGCCGCGCTGAGGGGACCGCGGGGGAGCTCGGGCCGCGCGTCCCGGGGCTGGCACGAGCCTGCGGCGAGGCTGCCCTCGGCCGGGCCTGGGCGGGGATTCCGGGGCCCGCCCGGCAGGGACGCGCGGCCCCGCGGGCCGAGGTTCGGGGCTCCGGTGCGCGCTCCGGTCGGGCTTCGGGCTTGGCTCCCGGGGCGACGGCGAATCGGGGGCCCAGACGGGACCCCTCTGGGTTTGCTCGGAAACGCTGTGTTTTGGGGGGTGGCGCTTATTAGCTAGCGCTTGCCCTAGTTTAAAGCGTGAGGAAGGAGGGGGCTTCTGAGCCCTGCCTTTGGGATTTTCTGGTCTGAAGAGACACACCGATTGCAGCCGAGTTCGTGGCTCAGATGCTCAGATTTGTGGAGGTCGTGGCATTTCTCGTGCTTGATGTCAGAGGGGATCCTGACCGTGGTCGTGGGGAGCCCCTGCAGCACCTGCTGGGCTGATGGTGTCGTGGAGGCTGTGTCTGGGGGTGGGACCGGGAAATGAAACGTGACTGAGATCCTGTTTAGATATTCTGCTGAAGTTATCGGGTTTCTTCGGTTCGAGTATACCAGTTCTAGAACAAGTTGATAAATCCAGTTTTGAGACTTTGTGAGAGAAGAGATTTGGGTGGCAAATAGATTTGGGATCACCCCAAAGGCTAAGAATGTGTTTGGGGTAGCCCAAATATCTACTCGTTCCCATATCCTCCTGGCATGTTCATTTTCTTCACTGCCACAAATGCCCTAGCACGAGAAGGATCCTGGAATAAGAAGCTGAGCTAGCACAGGCCCGAGCCCCAGATTGAGCTGTTTTCAAGTGAACAAACGTGTAACTAGGAAAAGAATGTTTTTATGAGCAGGGGTTGTTGGTAAGTTGAGAGAACTTGCTCTTTAATTGAACACCATCAGTCAATATGGGGTACTTGTTTTTTTTTTTTGTAGTGTCAAGTATCAAGGGTCCTGTGGTCAAGATAGTCATAGATGCCATTGCTAAGTTTTGTGATTCAAATAGTCATAAATCATATTTTAACCAAAGCATTTACTACATAAAGGAGTCCCAGGTGAATCCTGTGAATCTATCCTGTGTCTTGGATTTTGATATTTGAGGGCTATTTAAAATGAAATTCACATATTTATTTGCATTTGGCTTTACCTGGGAGATAATCCTGAGTCATGCTTTAGAGAAGTTCCTTCTCAGATCAGACATTCAGATGTCTGTGCTCTGTAAACACTGGACTCTGCCCTTTACCTGTAGCGGACCTGTCTGGAACTCTGGGGAAATGTGGTCTTAAGGACATTGGAAGCACACTGAGGCCATCACCACTTTTTTCACCCTTTCTGCAGGCCTATGCTCTAAATTACTTGTGTTCACATTCTCAAATTTCTTTACCATAGAAATTTTGTTTAAGCTACTGCCACAAGTATTTTCACATTGGTATAATACTTGTTTTATATTCATGATCTTGTTTATTTTCTCCATTTCCCCAAAGAAGAAGCTGGGCATATGGGTGGTTTACTCAGGGTCTCATAATAATGAAGCAGTTGGAATTCTGGTCCTTCCCTTCTGGTAGTCAGTTCTCTTTCCTTTGTACTGCCTGCATGTGACTTCAGAACCCTACTCCTGGGCTGTTGCACTATAGGCCAGTTTTTACATTCATTTAGAGTTTAAATGGTCTAATTACTTTTGGGAGAAGTGATATAATTTTATCTCATGGAAACTGAGGAAAAGAGGAATTTATGATTTTGTGACTCTTTGACAGTTCTTTAGCAATCAGTCACTTTTTAACCTAGATCTCCTCTCTTCTAGACCACATGGTTGAGAGAGGAGAAAAAAGAATTACTTAAGAAAAGATCCAGGTTAGGTTATTATCCAGGGCTGGGGCAGTGGCTCAGTAGTAGAGTGCTTACCTAGCATTTGTGAGGCACTAGGTTTGATTCTCAGCACCACATATAAATAAATGAATAAAATAAAGGTCAACCAACAATATATATATATATATATATATATATATATATATATATATATATATATGAAAAGATCCATTTCTGCATTGGTTGAGTTAGGGCTAATCTAACACCATAATCACATTATCCTTGTATGTCTGGCTACTTGTGCTGGCTTGTATGTGGATGTTAACCCAAAAGACTCCTTTAGATGTCGCTGAACTAGTTACTATAAAAAGTATTTCACTTTCAAACTCCCACGTTTCAAGAACAGAAACTCAGTACAAAGGCAATTTTGAAGGTAAGTATAGATGGAGAGACTTTATTGAGTCCTGCCTTCAGAATGCCAGACACAAAGGTTTCAGTAGAAAAGCATTTTAAAGGGCTACCTGGAAACTCTGGGAAGGTAGTAGTTAGAGATTTTTCTTATTACTTGTTCAAATTTGGAGGTTTATATTGCAGTGTATAGAGTAATATATAGGAGTAGAACTTTTGGCCCTGCAGGATTCTTAGTCTGTAGCAGAAAAGATCAACCCAGAATTTGGGGTTAAATTTAGTTCATTATAACTCATAAGCCTGTAAATGCAGTTTTATTGTGGTAAGGAAGGTAGCATTTAGGGGTTAGTTTTTTTTTTTTTTTTTAAGTTGTATATGGGCACAATACCTTTATTTTGTTTATTTAGTTTTTTTTTATGTGTGCTGGAAATTGAACCCAGTGCTTCACACATGCTAGGCAAGCCTTCTACCACTGAGCCACAATCCCAGTCCATGTTAGGTTATTTTTTAAGCTAATAACTTATTATTGGATTGTGTGTTCTCCAGATTTTCTACCTTGAAAAATCTGTAATTTCTTTTTAAAAAATATTTTAGTTGTAGAAGGACATAATACCTTTATTTTTATTTATTTATTTTTATGTGGTGCTGAGGATTGAATCCAACRCCTCCTGCATGCTAGGCAAGCACTCTACCACTGAGCTACAACCCCAGCCCTCTGATTTCTTTTAAACTTTTGAAAGTTCTTCAGTATGTTTTCCTTAACTGAACCACTGCAAACATTACACTGTCTAACCTTTTAAGAATAAACATAGGCAAATTTTTGGTGATGATTTATAGACTTTGGGACAAGAATTWATTTTCATCAAAGGTCAGATCTTTTCAGATGAACTGATTTTTACCAGGTCAGAAAGTGTTGTGTTTTGAATTTTATAATTGTGCTTGGTTGCTTTCACTGTCTTTTAAAACAATCTTTAGTAAGGAAAATCACCATAAAGAGAAATTTGTTGTTGTTGTTACCCTTAGAATCTCCGTTCCTCACAAATTATCTGACATATAAGATTTTTCTTTACCTTCATCAAATGAAACAGGCCTATTTGATGCCCATTTCAAGGTCTTTCTTTTACTGCCTGTCTTGTGGTCACTTCTCATTAATCCTCCAGGGAAGACTGCAGAAGAGAGAAAAGATGAAAAGCAAATGAATCATTTTCTAATTGTTAGCAGCTCTGGAAAATGATTTGGTAGAAGAGATTGAAGCTATTCTGGAAATTCTTTTGGATTTTGTTTTATTTCATCCATCTGCATTGCCTCTGATATGTTCTGAATAATAGCCATTAATTCAGAATCCAACTATTGGGTAAGCAGTAATCTTCCTGGCTTTTTTTTTTTTTTTTTTTTTTGGTTTCTTGCTTTATCAGAGCATCTCTACTTAGTACATTTAGAAACAAGGAGTAGAGGTAAAATTTAATATTTTTTTCCCCTTTGAACTCTTTAATGAGCAATTTGATTTTTTTAGAATTTAGTTATTGTTATTGGAAGTGACTAACCGTGACTGTTCTTCAGTTTGTTTTGATGAATCTTATACACAAGTATAGGAAGACTTTTGGATTGCTTTCCTAAATTATTAAGTTTGAAGTTTCTTTACATCTTTGTACAGATTCTGGGCTTTTGCTGTGGAACAGATTTATGGGTATCATCAAATTTTCTTTTATGACTGCTCAAGAAATTACCCTGTTTTGATTTAGAAGTAAAAAAGAAAAAAGAAGGAAAGAACTAGAAATAGACCTCGCCTAACAGTATAACATCAGTCTATTGGTATTCCATTTCTCATTTAACAATTAGGATATTGATAGATTGGATTCTTTATGTCACTTAAGTTCTTTGTGTCACTCCATTTCTCATTTAACCATTAAGATACTTAACAATTAGGATTGGAGTTCTTTATGTCACTTATTCACACTAGTGAGTAGGTTTCTGCCTTTTAAAAAATTTTTTTTTCTGGTTGTAAATGTGACTTTAATATTATTTATTTATATGTGGTGCTGAGGATTGAATCTAGGGCCTCAGACATGCTAGGCAAGTGCTCTACCACTGAGTCACAACTCCAGCCCCAGGTTTCTGCCATTTTAAAACTTAGATTCAGAGGAATTTTTACAGACCCTTTATGACTGGTTAGGCTGAGTTATGTACAATTGTAAATAAGTCCCTAGTAGGTGGATAGGTTTAATAGGTAGTTATAGAGAGTCTAAAATTAATCTTTTTCAATTTCTTGGTTTTGGGGTTTCTCTTTTTTCAATATCTGTTCAAGGAGGGTATTTATGGAAAGATCTAGACAAGGGGCCAGAAAACCCAATACTTATTAATTTACTTCCCATCTGTGGGCCTTGAACAAGCCACTTAATCTACTTGGTTTCTCTATTTTGCATCTCTAAAATGGGGGCAGTAATCTGTGCTTGGATTATTATATCAGCAGTGTTGGGGGGTGGGAAGATGTACATATCATTGTCTATTTAAATTGCTTCTTCTTTCTGGAATCCCTTCTCAAGTTGTGCAAATTTTCTTTGTTCCACTGAGTGAGCTCTTTCTTTATTTTCTGATTTGGAATCTTGGACTTTCCTCCTGCAGGGTCTGCCAGTCCATCTCTGTAGCACTTTGGAATTCTGTACTTCAGTTGCGTGTTGCCTTCTTTTGTAGATTGAAGGCTCCATGAGAGCAAGGGTGGCCTTTTCCTGTTTCTGTRTATCTTGCACATATGCTCCCTCTCCCTAGTTGATTCAAAATAAATGTTGGTTGAATGATCAATTATTGAGGTATTAGGAAATAATACTTTGAGTGACAGGGAATGCCAAAGATGAGCAGAACTTACCAGAACTTCCAAAGGACTGGCCTTTTCAGTTGCACAGTTACTGATTTGTTGTTATCAGTATCAGCATGAGATGCTGGCAAGACAAGTTGGTAAAGTTCACTTCTTGGTTCTGTTTACTTCAGACACCATTTATGAAGCAAGTCAGAGGAATACGGATTTGTCACAGCAGCCCTGAATTTGACATTTGTTCCATTTCTCACTCAGTAGCATGTCTGTATCCAACTGCTGAGTGTAAAGAGTAAAAGCTGCACATCCTCTGGTCTACATTTTAGCTTGTTTGCTTTGAAGAATTTGCAAGGTGGAGAAATAGATGCTTCAGGCTCTGATTTCAGCCCATGCTGTGCTATGCAAATGTTCTCTACATGCCTGAGTGACCTTTTGAGAAAGAGCCTTTGTGATCTTTTGTAGCCAGAGCTTGTTCTGGGAATTGTGTGCCAGATTCCTCTAAAAGTGGGAAAAGTGGATCTGTTCAAAGACTGCATTAAAAAAAGCCAATGCTTTTCCTGGATGAATACGGAGAAGTCCGTGTTTCTTACCATCTCTTGCCAGTGCTTTTGAAATTTGCTCTACAGTTTGCTTTGCAGGTTGATTTGGGGAATGGAGTGTGTGAGAGGGAACTAAGGCTGGGAAGTGTTTAAGTGCTCTTGAATTGTAGATAAAAATAAATTGAAACTGGCATCATTAGCATATGGGTGTTTATTAGTGTCCTAAGGCTGGCTCTCTAGGAGTGCTGGCTAACAACTCTGACCCCAATCAGAAAGGTTCTTTTTGTCCCAAATAGGGCTCTACCAATTTGTCATTTAAATTGCTTTCTTTTTGTTTTGACTATTCATGAAGATAAATTCCTCATTATTAAAAGTATAACTTGCTTTTTATATTATACAATAAATACTATTCTGATATATTTCTTTGGAAAATGATACTTGTATCTTGGGAAATTTATTATGTTTAATGCGTTTACTGAGATGTTTAATTTATGCTGATGAATAGAATTTTCCTTTTTGTTTTCATACTGGGGATTGAACCCAGGGGCATTTTACTACTGAATTGCATCCCAGCTCTTTTTATTTTTTTATCCTGAGACTGGGGTCTGGCTAAATTGCTCAGAGTGACCTCAAACTTGGAATCTTCCTGCCTCAGCCTCTGGAGTTGCTAGAACGGCAGGCATGGCCACTGTGTCTGGCTTTCCTTTCTCTCTCTCTCTCTCTCTCTCTCTCTCTCTCTCTCTGATACTGAGGATTGAACCTAGGGGTACTGTTGACCACTGAGCTTCATCCCCAGCCCTTTTAAAGTATTTTTTGATTTTTGAGGCAGGGTCTTGCTCATTTGCCCAGGCTGGCCTCTAACTTGTGATCCTCCTGCCTTTCTCTTAAATGACCTTTCAGAGAAAGACCATCATAGGTTTGTACCAAGATAAGGTTGACTAGTTAACCATAATATTCTTTTATAGACATTCTAAAAACTGACTTTTAGAGAAAAGAGAGAATTTGAATGGCTGATTTACTTCTATGCTTCTCCTTTTACTCCCAAGTATAGGATAGTTCTCTGTTTTGGACAGGCTCTCAAGATGCCCATAGAGCTCCCTGCCTGGTCTTTGCCCTGTAGTAGGCTTTAGTTGAACAAAGACAAGTAGTTTTTCTGGTGTTTGGCCTGCTCTGTTAGGTGAGAGAACCTTTTTTTCCTCTGTTTTCATAACTGCTTATTCTATCGTATGTCCTTTTTTCTCTTTCCAAAGTTTTCCTGGAAGCTGGGCTCCTGAAAACGCAGCACTGGAACAGATGGATAATGGAGACTGGGGCTATATGGTGAGTAGTCCTTGCAACTGCACTTTGAAGGCTGTAAAATTGTTTTTGTACCTTTTTTCCCCCCTTATGTGGCCTTAGATATAACATATCTTACAAGAATGCAAATTAGGAACTTGTGCAACTCCTTCTCCCTTCAATTTGTTTAGATGTATTTTTTTGGAGGGGGGTGTTGTTTTGTTTGTTGTTTTAATGGAAGCAGACTTAGTATGGACTCTTAAAGCAACTTTTAATAATCATTTATTTGAGAGAGAAATCCCTTTTTGATCTTTAAAGTATGTTACTCTTAAACTTTATGGAGTGGTGATACTAAAGGATCTAGTAGTTTATGGAGTGGAGGACATTTTCTTGTGGCTAGGGAGATGACAGTTGAGAATGTGCCTCTTCCCCTTTTTGTGTGTTCCTGTGTCTCCCTCTTTTTCTCCTCCTCTGGTAATATTTTACTTTCCTAGTATCTGAACATTACCTGCATCTTTACTTTTTCTTAAATAGACTTCTAAGAGAAAGATACATGTTATTTAAAGGGTTTTGTTTCTCACAATAAAGTTCAGATTATAATATTAATGTTACAAATGTGAATACACTATCAAGTAATGAAATTTTAAAATTACTACTACTCTTCCAGTATGTGTTGGTTTAGTGGCTAGGTTGTGTTGACCCAGATGTGTGTGTGTGTGTGTGTGTGTGTGTGTGTGTGTATTTAAATATTCATTTTCTTTTTAGTTATAGGTGGACACAATATCTTTATTTTTTTTTTTTAATTTGGTGCTGAGGATTGAACCCAGTGCCTCACGCATGCTAGGCAAGTGCTTTACCTCTAAGCCACAACCCCAGCCCACCCAGCAGTATATTTCAACTTAGTGTTTGACACTCATATTTCCATAAAAAAGTTATCAAGATTAGGTATGCACAAAGTTTTATTTTTAAAGTTGATTTTATGATTTGTTCTTTTTTGAGTGGGGAAACCTCAAAGAAATATTAAAAGTAGATATCTTTACATTATCAGATAATTTTATCTATCTTATGTTAAATTGAGCTAAGAAAACCGAAGATCTTAAAAAAAAAAACCTGAAAAAAAATGAGTGTATTTTAGTTTTTCTTTTGATTTCCTGTGACCCAAACACTTAGATACTGGTCCTGAAACTGTATGGCTCTGAAGTCATGCCCTTGATTATTAAGTCTTTGAAGAACTGAATGTATCCTTCTTTCTTCCCCTCATCCCTGCCCTCCACCAGGGATTGAACTGAGGGGACCTTTACCTCTGAGCTCCATTACAAGCCTTTTTACATTTTATTTTGAGACAGAGTCTCATGAAATTACTGGTGCCAGCCTTGAACTTGGGATCCTCGTCTCAGCCTCCCAAGTCTCTGGGATCACAGGCATATGCTACTATGCCCAGTTTCTTCTTTCTTTTCTATTGAAGCAAATGTTAGATCCCTTAATCTGTGTGGGCTTGTCATTGAAAGTAAAGCCATTTGCATTATGGTTTTGTCAAATATGTTATAGTTTAAAGGAATTTTAGTACTAGCTTTGCTTGTTACTTTTAATTTTCTTAATTTGTCAAAGTTAGGATTTACAAAATTTCAGGTGACTGATTATTTTTTAAAAAATTTCAGATGACTGACCCAGTCACGTTAAATGTAGGTGGACACTTGTATACGACGTCTCTCACCACACTGACGCGTTATCCAGATTCCATGCTTGGAGCTATGTTTGGGGGGGACTTCCCCACAGCTCGAGACCCTCAAGGCAATTACTTCATTGATCGAGATGGACCTCTTTTCCGATACGTCCTCAACTTCTTAAGAACTTCAGAATTGACCTTACCCCTGGATTTTAAGGAATTTGATCTGCTTCGGAAAGAAGCAGATTTTTACCAGATCGAGCCCTTGATTCAATGTCTCAACGACCCAAAGCCTTTGTATCCTATGGATACTTTTGAAGAGGTTGTGGAGCTCTCTAGTACCCGGAAGCTTTCTAAGTACTCCAATCCAGTGGCTGTTATCATAACTCAATTAACCATCACCACCAAGGTCCATTCCTTACTAGAAGGCATCTCAAATTATTTTACCAAATGGAATAAGCACATGATGGACACCAGAGACTGCCAGGTTTCCTTTACTTTTGGACCCTGTGATTATCACCAGGAAGTTTCTCTGCGGGTCCACCTCATGGAATACATTACAAAACAAGGTTTCACGATCCGCAACACTCGCGTGCATCACATGAGTGAGCGGGCCAATGAGAACACAGTGGAGCACAACTGGACTTTCTGTAGATTAGCCCGGAAGACGGATGACTGATCCCCAGCGCTGGAGAAGTTCCTGGAAACTGACTCTCCTGGAAATGGAAGAGACTTTTTTTTTTTTTTTTTTAAATCACAATGTGGGCTTTTTTTTTTTTTTAATATTTGTATTTATTTGAAGGCATTGAGAACTGAGAAGGAAGTTTTATGCTTTAGCAGACTCTTCTATGTTTTGTTTCCTTTACCCTGAGTATGCATGTGCCTGTTCTGAGTCTCCAGATACCTTTTTTATAAAAAGAAGTCTGAAAATCATTATGGTATATAATCTATCCTTAACAGAGCTTTTTTTTTTWATTACAGTGCTAAAATGATTTCTGATAAAATGGCCCCAAATAACTAGAAGGCTAAAAATACAGGAATGAAAGAAAAAGCAGAATACTCATGATGCCTTTGAAAAAAAATCAAATATCATGTAGGGTGACCTAGTTTCCAAACCAATAAGCAGTATTAAAATAAAGGAAAACTGTTCCAATCATTTAAAGGTACTTATTAAGTACGGCTTTTCACAGTTATGACAACTGTTACTTTCTATGCATATAAATCAAGCAACCAAATATCTGTAGCCATGGAAATGTCTGACTAGAAATATTTATATTGGATTCCGAATACAAAATGTCCCTGTGGTAGAAATCTTATTTCTTATGCCTGGTGCAGTATAATTCCCAAGTGTTCTGTCTACCAGGAAAAAAAAAAAACCTAATAAAAAAATGAAATAAGAAAATTAGATCTGTATTTATTGGTGGTTGTTATTACTTAAAGGAGAAAAATCATATTCATTGTCTGAAGTATGCATTGTTTATGTCCTACTCTTTGAGAGGACTCAATGGAACCTTAGATTGTAGTTTATAAGAACTCTATTGTGTCATTGAAGCAGGGATGGATAGAATTTGTCTCAAGGTCTAAAAGAGTGCATATTTGAATGGTGAACGTGCTGTTTGACAAAGTTTCCATTGGCACTTATATTAAAGATTACAGATTTTTCTTCAGTTGTCATAGTGCTGAATATGACTCATTATTTCAGTTTTGTCCTAAGCACGGGGACAAGAATGACTAGCTATTTTATCCTCATATATTGTGGTTACCCACAATTGCATGTTATTATCAAAGCTAAGTTTATTTCTAAAAAGAAGAAATGAACTGTTGTAAATGAAGAAGAATCTGGAATAGTTGGGGAAATGTATGTAATTTTGTTTATTTCATTGTAGTCTCTCCGCCCGCCCCCCACTGGAGATTGAATCCAGGCTTCATGCATCCTCAAAGCTACATTCCCATCCCCCCCCTTCTTTTTAAGAGAGAGAATGTTAATATTTATTTTTTTAGTTATCGGCGGACACAACATCTTTGCCTGTATATAGTGCTGAGGATCGAACCCGGGCCGCACGCATGCCAGGCGAGCGCGCCACCACTTGAGCCACATCCCCGGCCCCTCATCCCTTTTTATCTTACTTTGAAACAGGGTCCTGCCAAGTTGCCCAAGGTGGCCTTGAATTGGGATCCTGTTGCCTCAGCCTCCCAGGTAGCTGGGATTACAGGGATGTACCATGCCACTGGCCTGGCCTGGTTCTGGTCTTATTTTGCATTTGATTCTATTTCTTGAAAGTTACTCACAGGAAGGATTGTGTTAATTTATAGTGAGACTTCCTGGTTTGCTAGCACACCTTATAAAAAAGGAAGGCATGTAACTTCTGCCCTGTTTTCTAAGGGAAGAGTGGAACTCTTGAGACTCTGTGCCCTGGAGCAGGCAGGTCACTCTTTTTCTCCTCCTCTCTGTGAAAATATTCCAAGATTCTCTCTATGAAAAGATAAGAACATTTACTTTGCTAACTTTTCCCCATCTTCCTGAAAATTTATTTTAAGATTTGATAAATTACCAGAAACCTGTAATCAACCCATTTTCACCATCTTCAGACTAAGATTCCTTAATGTTGTTGACAGGTTGCTCTGGTTTTGGTAAATTGATGTACTAGTTCAAGGCTACCACTTTAGAAGATTGGCTCTCATTTCAAATTGAGTGATGGTTGAAGAAAAAAAAAAAATCCCCAACTGTTTAGTTGATTACTGTTGGTTATTTTATAACTTGGATCTCCAACTTTGTAATAGTGGTCGAATGTATTTCTCATAGGCAGGGTTCTCCTGTTTTTAGAAAGAGATCAATATGAAGTAAAATGATTGTAATTAAAAATAGTTGGGGAAATAGGAATATACTAGTTGCTCTAGTTGCCCAATTTACTGGAGATATTTACTTTGGTAAATTTTCTCAGGTTTACTAATTATTAATAACTAAAGGATTGTTTATATGAGTAAATTGGGAAAAGCAGCTGCTGAAATTTTTATTCAATTTCATTTGTTAGTTGATAATTTGAGTGTTTTATCTAGTTGGGTAATTGGAAATGGTATGAAAAAATGTCCCTTGATTATGTTCGGGTAATTTTAAACTATTGTGTCTGTTTCTATGAAGTTTCTGATCATTCTCACTGCAGAAGAGGTTGTTTTTTTTTTTTTTTTTTCCTCCTGTGCTGGGGATTGAACCCAGGGCCTCTACAACTCATGCTAGACAGGTGCTTTACCACTGAGCTACATTCTCAGCCCAGAAGAGTTGATTTTTAAAAGTTGATACTTCAGTGCATTCTTAGGGCTTTGTATTTTATTTAGGTTACACCAAGCATAGGCATTTCTGGAGAACAGTGTGTTGGAATGTTTGTGTCCTTTTAAACCTGAGGATAAATGCTAGTGTAGCTCAGTAGTAGAGTACTTGCTTAACAAACATTCATGATGCCTTGGGTTTGATCCCCAGCCAAAAGAGAGAGAGAAAAAAACTGATTTGGCTTTGCTATATCTGAAACAAAGGTCTAGTACAAATGCTACAAGTGGATATGGTCCCCCACCCACCCGCTTTTTTTTTATTGTGGGAAATTTCAAATATCCAACAAACGGTAGAGAGAGTAGTGTAGTGAACACCAAAATACCTACCAAGTGACCAAATTTAATAGCTCTTCACGCCCCCTTTTTATAGACTATTTTGAAGTAAATCACAGATTATATCTCATAGATACTACTTCAGACTATGTCTAAAAGATGACTCACACACATATATGTATATCAATTTTAATTTTGCCAATATATGCTATAGAACCATTGTAGTGCTGCTTGCTCCTTGATTACTGTTGGTTATTTCATAGCTTGGATCTCCAACTTTGTAATAGTGGTCGGATGTATTTTTCATAGGCAGGGTTCTCCTRTTTTTAGAAAGAAATGCATTATTAAGCCAAAATATTTCTGCCAGGATTAATGATTTTTTTTTACCTTCAAATTTAATGTTTAGCTTCAGAAAAGTAACATTCCATAAGATTCTTAATTTCTCAAATTATTTTTTAAATTTGTTTTGTGTGAGCATATGGAGAAACATTTTTCCAAAGGGCACCCTTCCTTTCTCATTGCARCTTTTAAATTGTGAATGCAGGTGGCCAATTTAAAAAAAAAAAAAAAAAGAAAGAAAGAAAAAGAAAAGCTAAACCAAACAAAACAGCTTATCTTTGCTTTTGGAATTTAATACAAATAAAAGGCCTGACTCTTTGAGGCTCTTTGAAATTGAACATGAACCACAAAACAAGAAAACCAGAAAGCAGAATCAAGTAAGCAGTATTCTGTGTCTGAATAGGTTTTCCCATTGTTCTCTAATGTAATGTCTAGATTCTTTCCTTTATAGAGTTCTAGCCTCATCTTTTATAATATTTACTTGGTTTTGCCTGTTTATGTGAAAACTGTAAGCTTCAGGGTCTGTGATTCTTGTTCTCCACTGGTTTTTGTTTGTTTGTTTGTTTTTGGTGCTAGGGATTGAACTCAGGGGCACTTAACCACTGAGTCACATCTCCAGCCCTTTTTATTTATTTTGAGACAGGGTCTTGCTAAATTGCTTAGGACCTCAATAAGTTGCTGAGGCAGGCTTTGAACTTGCAATCCTCCTGCCTGAGCCACTGGGATTATTGGCATGCGCTGGTGTACACACCTCCACTGTATTTTTAATACCTAGAAGTTTCTGGCACTATAGTATAAGCTCAATAGACACTTCCTGGATGCAGGAATGACTAAGTCAATAGATGTGTTTAACATACCTAACTTCTACCAGCGCATATTTTTACAATAGAACAATTGGGGAATAATAGGRTTCATGATTTGAAATTGTCCCTAGTGGCTCCTTCCCTCCTTGTCTCCATAGGGAATCTCTTAGATGTGAGTTCATGTAGGGAGGGGGAACTGTTTGTAGTTTTCTTTGGGGAAGCTGGATTGAAATAGCATCCAGGTTGGGCAGAAAATCAAAAAAGCAGAAACCATGGCTAGACTAAACCAAGAGAGAGCACACCATCCTGTCCAGGGAGAAAGCTCACCATAGCCTGCCCCAGACAGAAGAGACTCTTCTGTGATTTTAAGACATTCAATTCAGCACAGCACTTTACTTTCAGTAGAAAAGCCACTGAAATACATTCCCATTTGTACTTGTGTATCTACATGGCATATTTCAACATAGCTGCTGTTTTAATTTGTTTAAAATACTTGCAATGTGCCTTTTTTACTGTGCAAATGAGGGAAATGTCTCTTTACTGCAGCTTCAAAATTATCTATATTAGGTCAGAAAAATACACTTTAAAAGTTCTGGTGGTTTCTATAGGAACCAGAAATGTATTATAAAATCGTGTGGCAATATATTAGTGGTCAAGTGATTGTCATTTTGATTAACTGGAAACAAGGTCATTTGTAACCACACATTCCTAAATTGCTATGCATGAAAGAGTCATATTGCTGTTCCTGTCACCTTTTTAGCAAGGCAATGTATAGTAGGATATGAGAGTCTGCTGCATTTGTTTGCAGTGGGCTCCTTTGTCTGTGTAGGTTATAAAGCCATGGTCATTTATCCCATAAATGTGGCGTGTCTACTCCATGACAGGTTCTGGAGTTAGGCAGGGGAAGGCTCCACCCTTACTTGCCATCAGGCCGAAGAAAAGTGAATGGGATGAAGTGCATCAGTATTTTACCACATCTGTTTAATGCCGTGGGTCAGTCATACCTCATTTAGAAAAGGCTGCTCTCATGTGGTATCCAGATTGAAGTCTTTAAAGGTGAAAAACAAGAACGCCCCCACCATTCTTCAGTGACCATGAGAAATCTGGAGAACTGGAATGTTTCCTGTGTTTTCAGTAAAACTGGACTGAGCTCTGCGTGTCAGCATTTCCTATCAGGTAAACAGCAGGGCAGGTTCTTTGGAGCATCAAAGGGCATATGTATATCTTTGGACCATAAGAACTAGGCTGAGCTAGGCAGACTGCTTTATTTTTATGTCAGGATTTAAATGTTAGAAAGGAGAGATGACTATAAAAGAAACACTCTGGAAGTAGGCAAACTGTATTAAGTAAGCAGTAAATAYATTTTCCTTCAGTAAATTGTTTATATTTCCTTGTAGATTTCAAAGAGTGCCTTTCTGGGGATGGGGATTGACTGAACAGATTGGCCACCTGAGGGCTGTTCTGGGGGTAACTGGTTGTGTTATAACTTCAGAGGATCATGTTAAATTAAGCTATGAGGTATGACAGTACAAATTGTTAAGAGCAAGTCTAACACTGTGCCAAGTGTGAATGAAAGCCTGGGAACTGCCAATTTGATGAGCTGTTAAGACACCTTTTTTTTTCTGAAATTGGACTGAAGAGATAGAAAAGCAAGTGTTACCATGTGAACAACATATTTGCATTATACATCTCTTTTTTTTTCTTGGTACTTGGGATTGAACCCAGGTGTGCTCTACCACTTAGCTACATCCTCAGCCCTTAAAGATTTTTTTTTTTTTTTAATTTTAAGACACAGCGTTACTAAGTTTGCCCAGGTTGGCCTTGAATTTGCAGTCCCCCTTCCTCAGCCTCAGAGTCTGGGGCTGATATAATAGGCGTGCACCACCATACCTGGCTTTACATGATAAATTTTTAAAAATCCAGCACTACAAAAAAAAAAAAAGGATCTGTGTACCTATAGACTTTTTGTTTTGACCATCTATCAGGTTTGCTGTTAAACATTGGTTCTCCACATTCTTAACTACAGAATTTATTTCCTTGTTCCAGTTAATGCATTTATTGACATTTGCAACTTATCCCAGCTAGGCTGGGCACAGTCTAGGACCCTCGCCTTAAATAGTTGGGATTTTATGAGTCCTCCCTCTCTTCTTGCTGTTAAACATGTAGAGTGTTCTGGTATTCTCTCCCAGGAGAGCTGGGGATCTTGTTGCCGTAACCTTTGAAATTGTCATTTTTGTGCCTCTGCTGGCTACCATGGCTTTGAAGCAGCCTTCTATGCTCCTGAGATTGCCAAGAAGAGGCATCTCTAGCAGGCAGTCAGGTCTGAGTGAGACACCCCCTCAAGCTTCCTGTCACCTCTGAATGCCCACTTTCATCTACAGAACACTGAGAGTTAAAAGACTGAATATAAGATGGTTAAGTCACCGCTGTGATTTATCTTCTTATTTTTGTTACTTAAAAGCCAGTTTACCACTGTGTATATATGCTCTTGGGTACGTCAAGGCATGATTTAGAGCTTCGGCTTCCCTCCTAATTCCCTTTACTAAGTTCTGAGTAGTGCATCTGCTGATTACAGTTCCTGCCAGGCCACACTCCTACTGCTGGTGTCTTTAATGTATTCTCTAAAAATATTTTAAACAGACATTCTGTATCAAGCGATTTTCAACTTAATGGAAATCAATGAAAATGGGAAAACAGAGGTGTATTTACTGCTTGTTCTCTGCTCTCTTACATAATTTATAATGTGTTCCACTCGACTACCTGAGCATTGCTTGGTGACTCCCGAGCCCACTGGAACAGACGTCCATAGACATTTCCATCATAACAGCCAAGTGCTGAATTCAAACACTGGTCGGTGAAGTCAAATGCATCAGTTAACAAGATAGCATCCTTCCTGAGACAGGAAACAAGACTGTGAGTATTTTGGATGTGCTTACAAATCTAATTAATCTAGAGTGACAGATAGCAACACCTAATTAGAACTTGCATCAGTATTCACTTTTTGAACAATTCAGCTTTTTTTTTCATCAATTATACATGCACAGTATAAAGAATCAAAAGAGTTCTTTAAGGCTTGCTATTTAAAAAACAGCATATCCTGGTCTCTCTCCTAGAGGCAGTTTCAAGAGGCTGATATTTTGGTGTTTTACTAAATACCTGGTTTGTATTGCTAGCAACTTTAAAATAATTTTTTAAATTTGTTCTTTTTAGTTATACATGACAGTAGAGTGTATTTTGATATATCACACATACATGGAGTATAACTTCCCATTCTTGTGGTTGTACATGATGTGGAGTTTCACTGGTCATGTGAACATAGTAAAGTTATGTCCGATTCATTCTACTGTCTTTCCTATTCCCATCCCCCTCTCCCTGCTAGCAACTTCTTGATGGTTCAAGTGTGGATGTTATATGTTGACTTCCCATTACAGAAGATAAGGATTTACTTTGAGCATCTTTCTCTTCACCCCTTCCTCCAGTCTCCCATACTCCCTTCCCTTGGCTTTCCTGCCTCCTAATAATTTTTGTAATTTTGGCCAGACCAAATTCAGTGTTGACATTCTGTTGACTATATGGCATTCAAGCATTGGAGGTAGCTAGGTACTGTCCTTAATCTGTCTTGGATGATTCCTCATTGTTATGACCTCCCCACCCCCACCTATTTAATGTCTCTCATGCCCCTAGTGGTCTCATTTCCCTCCTTAGGCAGCTGAAATTCCATTGTCCATTATATTTACCCTCTCAAAAATAGATTCATCAGTTTTTCTTGCTTTGTCATATTAGTTTAGCAAAGACCATCCCTTGTTATCTCCAGTTTTCCACCAACTTCTTGCCACCACTTTTGTAGTTACCCTTAGGCTGTCAGAACCAGCCTAAGGGTTCAAGTGGGCCTGGTGGCTGTTTTGCAATCATATTACATTGTTCTAGTTCTTTCTCTTTTACTTCTTTGTTCTCATAATTGTCTTCCGTCCTCAAATTTACACTACTCACCTCCCCATCTTTCTTTCTTTCTTTTTTTTTTTTTTTTTGGTACCAGGGATTGAACCCAGGGATGCTTAACCACTGAGCCTCATCCCCAGCCCTTTTTAAAATTTTGAGACAGGGTCTCACTAAGTTGCTTAGGGCCTTGCTAAGTTGCTGAGGCTGGCTTTGAACTCACGATCCTTCTGCCTCCTAAACTGCTGGGATTACAGGTGTACACCACTGTGCCTGCTCACTTCCCCATCTTTCTTACACAAATGACTTTGCATCTTATTTCACTGATAAAGTGGAAGGAGTAAGAGACTTTCCACAGTTCCTACCCCTGCGTTTATACACAGTGCCCCCAGTCTTAGTGAAGGTCACCTGTCCAGGATCCCAGCTTAGGCCAGTCAGTCCCTTCTGTGTACTAGCTGCCTTCTGCCCTTGTCTACTGGAGAACGATATTCCAGAAATTATCTTGCCTTACTCCTACAGTGTCAAAATTCCCCTTTCTGCTGGATCATTTCCATTAATATACAGACATGCTGTCATCTCTCTAATCTTAAAAAAAACAAGCTTTGACTCAGTTTCCCTTTCTATCTTAACCCCATTTGTTGGCTCCGTTTTATGACAGTACTTGCAAGTATTTTGCTGTCTCTGCTGGGTATATTATATCTCCAGTGTTCCCGTTCCTCCAGAGAGAACTGGATTCACTCATGTTCTCACCTCTACCACTCCACTGACAAGGTCACCTCTTAATATTTTTGTAGGGTCCTGAGACTCAGTACGTGGACCTCTCTCTTCATGTTGTCACTTCCTGTGGTATCATCTCTCTCATGGCTTTAAATATCAACCATATGCCAGTGACTTCCAAATTTATCCCTCTGTATCACATCTGTATTTGGATTTCAAATAGGCTTTTCCAACATAACATGTCTAAAACCAAACTCCTAATCTTTTTCTGTCCATCCTGCTCAAACCTGGCTCTTCTGTAGTCCTCCCCATTTGATTCTTCTGTCTCACCCCACATCTATCTAATCTCTCAGCACATCCTGTTCTACTTTCAAAATATAAAACTTTGATCACTTCCTACCACTCCAGTGCTCCCACTCTGGTCCAGGCCAGGATCCTCTCTCCCTGCTGCTTTCTATTCCCCTCTCACCAGGTGGGGATTGAACCCAGGGCTTCACATATGCTAAGCAAGTGACCAGGTGCTCTCAGCCCTGCTTTTCTTTTTTTGTTTTGGTACCCAGGATAGAATCCAGGGGCTCTCAACCACTGAGCCACATCCCCAGCCCATTTTTTATATTTTTTTTAGAGACTGAGTCTCACTGAGTTGCTTCAGCCCCTTCTTTTTATTCAAAATTCTTAGTATGGCAGCTGGAGTAATCCTTTAAAAATAGACATTGGATTATTTCTGATTGTGACTGTCCTGTGCTCAAGCCCTCCTAGGCTCGTACAGAGTAAAAGCATTGACCTCCAACATTTGTACCTGTCCATACCTGGAAACCTTCCCCTGACCACCATCCGGCAGCCATATGACACTCCTCAGGTCTTTCCTCAAATATCATCTTCCCATAGACTTCCCTGCTCCCTCACCTCTATATTCCTATCCCCTTTCCCTGGTACCCTTTCCTTTCTGGCACTGATTAACACTTCACAGGGTGTATTGACAATGTGTGCACATGCATGTGTGTGCGTGTCTCCTCTTTGTAGGCACTGTGCCCTTTTCAATCTGAAACTTGTATTTTTCTCATGAGGGATATTTACTTGAATTATTTTATTAATAAATTACCCCCCAAAAAATAAAATAAATTGCCCCTTTCCATTTTTTCCTGTCTTCCTCTTTCTTTTTTTCCCCCTAGACCTGCTTTTTAGAAGATGAATAGCTAGGATAGGTCCTCTTATTTTTAAAAGATCTTTTCTCTCATTTTTTTTGTCCTTTTCTGCTTTCTTTCTGTGAGGTCTCTGCAACTGTATCTTCCAGTCCTTAAATTGAGTTTTTCATTTCTACTACCTTTTTGTTAAATTTCAAAGAGCTCTTTTTTTTCTTTCTTCTCTGAATATTACATTTTAAATAATTACATTCTGGTTCTTATTTCATAGTTTGGGTATCTCTTATTAATTCTTTGAGGATATTACTATGTTTTTTTCTTTTTAAAGCTTTCTACTCACTACAGATTCTCTTTGTGTCCTCTGAGTTGCCTTGTTCTTGCTTGTTCTTGCTCCTTCTTTTATGTTAGCAGTATTCAGTGCATCTGGTGATCCCAGAGTGTCTGGTCATAGCTAAGAATGGGGCATGAACTAGCTCAGTACAAGTGTGCATGTTGATTGTTAGCGGGGCTCACTGTGGACTGTGCCCCTGCTCCCTTGGATGGTCAGATTCTTCAGAGAAGGATTATCTTGCTATTCTCCTACAGGGTACCCGCCTGGCTGTCACTCTCCTAGTACCAAGAGGTTAATGAGCACTGGAGGAGGAAGTGTTAATATTTGGCTTGTGAAATCCCTGCTTTCTGTAGGGTAGCCTCATCCTCCACTATGCCTAATGTTCCCCATTCCCCTTGGCCCTATCAGAATAGGGCTGGGAAAGTCACAGGGGAGGAGGGGAACCGAGGTTTCGGATCTCTCTGAGCTGAACTTCCACCATCCTGTCAGTCCCATCTCACTCTCATCCCCATTGCCTGAGGTACACAGTGCTTCTCCTTGGGGTTCTCTGCTGTGACTTATCTAAGTCATTGTATGCCCATTTATCCAACTTTCATTTTCCTCTCCTGTTCTTTTTGTAGCCTCATGCCTTTAAAAATTTTCTAATTCTCTTGCTGTTGTTTAAAGAGTGCTTCCTAGCATGTGCAATGCCATGGGCTCAATTGCTAGTGCCAGATAAAAACAAAACAGAATGCTGTCAAAAATATATCTGAAACAATTATGCCTGGGGTATTAAACTTTCCCTAGTCTAGGGAATCCAGTGGCAGACACCATTAAGAGCATAATTAAGTATAGCACAATTCAAGCCCAAATGTGTCTTTAGGAAGGAACAAAATTAAGTGCATTTGTGCAGTCTACCTTACCTGAGATTTACCCCAGCCTGCCGTCTTTACCCCAGCTGAGATTTTACTAACACATTTTAAACAACTAAAACCCCTTTGGGTCAATTCATTAATGTGACACAGAGAGCTGGTTTTAGTGTCACTTAGAATAGTGTGCTGCCTTTCATTTGTCATCTTAGAAGTCTGAGAGAGATAATGACTAATCAAGGCAGGGAACTGTGACAAAGAACCGTTAAGCATGGACTCTGTTACATACCTAATTACCCTGCAGTAGTAAGGTTACTTAGGAACCATAATGTAAGTAAATCATTTTGTGGGTTTGATGCTTGCGTGAGTTGGCAGCTTGCGTCAGCGCTGTCTTGTCTTGATTTGTAAGTCTCTGGAGCAAAGGCAAGCGCTTAGAAATGCTGTTTGCAGATAAAAATGAAACCCCMAAAACTCCATACTTAAAGATGTTAAGGTGATCTTTTGTATTTTATCATCACCACCAAGCAGGACCAGAATATTATTTTTATCATGTGCTTTTAAAATGCCAAGTGTTTCAGAAAGACACATTTGGGCTTGAATTGTTCTATACTTAATGCGCTCTTTTTTTTTTTTTAATTTGTTCTAATTACATTTGTCAGTGGAATGCATTTTGACAAATTATACATTAATGGAGTATAACTTCTCATTTGTCTGATTGTACATAATAGAGAGTTGCATAGGTCATGTAATCATATTATGCATATAGGGTAATAATTTAACACGCTCTTAATGGTTTCCACCAGTGGATTGCCTAAATTAGGGAAAGTTTAATACCTGGGCCATCATTGTGTCAGATATAGATATAGATATAGATAGATATTTTTTGGTACCAGGGATTGAACTCAGGGACCCTTAATCATTGAGCCCCATCCCCAGCCCTTTTTTGTATTTTATTTAGAGACAGCATCTCACTGAGTTGCTTAGGGCCTTGCTAAATTGCTGAGGCTGGCTTTGAACTTGTGATCCTCCAGTCTCAGCCTCCTGAGCCACTGGGATTACAAGTGTGTGCCACTGTGCCCAGCAGTCAGATTTTATATATATATATATATATATATATATATATAAATGGACATAATACCTTTATTTTGTTTATTTATTTTTTACTTGGTGCTAGGGATTGAACCCAGCGCCTTGTACGTATAAAGCAAGTGTTCCACTGCTGAGCCACAACTCCAACTAGGCAAGCACTCTACTGCGGAGCTACATCCCCAGCCCTGTGCATATTTTTTTTAAACCTTTATTTAATTTTTTAAAAAATATTTATTTTTTAGTTGTAGTTGCACACAATGCCTTTATTTCACTTATTTATTTTTATGTGACGCTGAGGATCGAACCCAGGGTTCTGCACATGCCAGGCGAGCACTCTACTGCTGAGCCACAACCCCAACCTATTTAATTTTTTTAATAATTATTTTTAAAAGTCTTTTTAATATTTTTATTTATATGGTGCTGAGGATCGAACCCAGGGCCTTGCACATGCGAGGCGAGTGCTCTACCGCTGAGCCATAACCCCAACCCCCTTTATTTAATTTTTTTAAAAAAAATGTTATGTGGTGCTGAGTTTAAAACTCAGTGCCTCACACATGCTAGGCAAGCACTCTACACTGAGGTACAGCCCCAGCCTCTGTGCATATTTTTTTAAAACCAAGTTCATAATCTTACTGTTTGTGTGTGTGTATGTATGTTATGTTTATTTATTTTATTTAGATTTATTCCTAACAGTATAAAATAACCTCACAGTATAAGATTCTTTCAAATTATTAAATATTTTTCATGGACCCCAWTTTTTTTTTTAGTACTGAACCCAGGGTCGCTACTACTGGGCTATATCCCCAGCCCTTTTTTGACAATTTGTGATGATTTAATTGAACAAACATTTACTAGCTACCATCTATCTAAGTGCCTATGTTTTGTAATAAATAGCACGAAAATTACTGTATATTGTTAGAAATAAAAAGAATTTGGTTTGTTTTCTTTAACTCTGTCATGGAAATTTTATTTTACAACAGTTTCAAGTTTGTAAAATTTTTTAGTGTTGCTGATAATGAGAACTATCAGAGGATGCAGGGAAAAGGCCACACCTCCTAATGTACAATAGGCGTCATATTTTCTGCCCCGTGGGGTCTCAAAAGAGTGTATTCTCAAGTTATTCTATTTTTTAAAAAAATATATTATTGACAATGGTAAATAATTCATATTTTTAAAATTTGTTTTCTAGAACCCTGATCAGGTTGGCCTGTGGTTTTGATGTTTTTCAAGTAATTATTTAGATTATGTGAAATGACTGGATGAAAGAAAGCATTTGATTAGTATTTCATGACTCCAGATTGTACTGCATTAATTCTACATATAAAAACTATTTGTATTATTGTTCTATGAATCAATATATAAATTACTTGAGTTTTTAAAAAATTTTTCATCTTGTTACCAAGGCAGTAAAGTTTAGTCAACTTGGCAATTATTTGCTCGTGCACATTCAACAAAGACAGGGATATACCTAAAATAGTACTTAGACCTTCACCCACAGGTTAAGGGTGCATACTCAGGCATCAGAGAGGCCTGAGATTGTACCAACTCCTATTCTGGCTAATTATGTGACGTTGAGCAGGTTAACTCCCATAAGCCTGAATTTCCTCTCCAGTAAAATACAGAGATTAAGTCCATTTCAAAGGGCTCTAAGGATTAACTGAGATGATGTTTGTAAAAGCTTTTGGCACAGTGCCTGGGCACATAAGTACTCCTTAAGTGTTAGCTATGATTCAGACTATTAACACATATTCACATGTGGCATGCTTTATTTTATTCATATGCCTGTGACATTGTTCCTGACATGTTGACGATGTTGAAGAGATCAATTGAGGTAGCTAACTTATTTTTAAGTATTTTTATTTCTAATTATTCTTCACTTGTTTCTTTCACTAAGCCTTTATACTTCATGTTGGCATAATAATGCTGGGATGCGAACCTCCCCAGGGCCCTTGCTGGTTTTGCCAGACATACCCCAGTTAGCAAGATCTTGGAGTTTGAGGTGACCTGTGAACTAACCTGTGAACTAGAGTAGAGGGCTTTTCTCCGAAGGCTAATATCATGGTTTGAGGGCCTGCCACTCACCTGATCAGGAGGAACAGGTCCAGGTAAGCTTTTCTTGCCATGTCTACTTGGGCCCCAGACAGAAAGCCATCGTGGAGAAAGTCTCCCGAGTTTGTCAAGATACCGTGTAAAGCAAAGAGGTCACAGAGGCGTTGGAGCACTTGCTGAATTGCTGGTTCCTTGTCTAGTTTCTCCAGAGCGTCCGTGAAACTCTTCACAGTGATATAGTAGCAGTGTGCCTACAAAGACAAAGGTGTATCAGACACTGATAGATGGTTTCCAACTCCAGAAGTCACCCTGGAATCTTGGCAAGACAGACGAACACACTGCCACAGCTGTATGCTTGCCAGAGGGCTGACAGCAGGCCCCCTCCCCTCCAGCTCGCTCAGGGTCTCCTTGAGCCTTTTTGGTACAGTGTTTATCTGTATACACGTGTGTGTCTGGCCCGTGGGCTCTGGAACTTGGCCTTTGGTATCCTCATTTTGCTTGGAGCAGCTTCAAGTAGAGTTGAAAGTAGACAGAGTGTCAGGTGTACTGGTGGCTGGCTCCAGGGACTTGGAGGGCAGCACGTGTGTGTACCATGTGGTGGGAAAGTGAGGGTACAAGATGTAAAGGCAATTTATCCTAGCCATCAACCTAATGAGAGCCCCCTCTGCCAGATGGACTCCTTCCCTGGACCCCCTTCTCCCCATAGCCCAGGAATTAAAGGATTAATGCCTGTCTCAGCAGGAACCTTTAGGACCCTTTATCTCCTGCCCTTTTGGTAAATATTTTTAATATCCCCCCTTTACCCAAGACAAGTGCACATCAGTATTTTATCAGGATACAAGTTGCTTGAGGAAGAGGGGCTAAACAGTTTGAGGCTTTCAAATTTGTATGTGTGCAGGGCACCTGGATGTCTTTTCAGAATGCAGATTCTAGCTGGGTGTGGTGTCGTACACCTGTAATCCCAGCTGCTCAGAAGGCTGAGGCAGGAGGATCATAAGTTCAAAATCAGCCAGCCTCAGCAAGTTATCAAGACTCTAAGCAATTTAATGAGACCCTGTCTCAAAATAAAAAGTAAAAAGGGCTGGAGATGTGGCTCAGTGGTTAAATGCCCTTGGATTCAATCCCTGGTACAAAAAAGAAAAAAAGAATGCAGAATGAGAGTAGATCTGTCTTGTGATGTCCATGCTGCTGCTAGTAACTTGAAATAGCAAGGTTTAAAGTGTCTTGGGGTTCAAAAGAATTCCCCCTGCAGGACAAGGGATAGGGCAAGGCCATCTGAGGCAAGGGGAACTTTATGAGCAAAGGCTATACTTTCAGGAGGTAATTTTCTGAGGCCGATGCACTCTGATTTAATGAGGCAATGATGGGCACTTTGTAAGTTTGGATGGACCCACATCAGAGAAGAGCTGTGAATGACATGGCCGGGGTTTTATTCTGTAGGGGCCAAGGAGTCACCAGAGCTTTCAGCAGGGCAGCGAGTGGTCAGGTTTCTCATTTGGAAAGAACCTGCCTTCYTCACACAGGTGCTGATAGCTCCGCTTAGGCAGCCAGCCCTGCTCCTCACTGCCGTGCTGGGTGTGCAGCGTTTGGAGGTGGACGATGATCAGATGGGTCCTGCCGCCCAGCAGCCTTCTGCACTCAATCTGCATTGAGGGACAAAACTAGAGATAGTGTACTTTTGTCACTGAAGCCCCGCTTTCCCTTGTCTAGCCCATGGACCACACCCAAAGGTTCTCCAGGCTCTGCTTGGGGAGTGAAGTGATGGTGAGCTGCCCCAGGGCCCAGTTCTATCTTGGAAAGCAAGATGAAGACCAGAAAGAGAAGGTGGCCTTTAGGCCATAGGGATAAAGTATGTCCTTATCGCTGGGTATCTCTTAAATTTTTACACATGTCAGCTCAGTCTTCATAATAATCCTGTAAAGTAGGTGCTGGTAATAGCTCTGTGTTGTAAAAAGAGACAGGCTCTGAGACTTTAAGTGGTGGCAACAAGAGCCAAACCAGGGCTGTACTCCTAACTGCTACCTGTGCTGCCAAAGCCAGCAGGGCCTGAAGCTGGGTTATACTGAGCACCAGCATTAGCTCCAGGATCCTAGGAACTGACATCTCTCCTGGGCAGAGCCTGACCTTAGAGGACCAAAGCCTGTCAGAGCACCTTTGTTGTACAGACTGGAAAGGTAAATCCCGCAGAGGGGAGGGAGTGCTTGAGGTCAGATGGCATGTCACACACACAGCTGGGAGACTAGAACTTAGCTCATGGTTTTTCCTTGTCTATCCACCTACCAGTTTTGTCTCCTTCCCCAAGTTGTAGTAAAGTCATTCTCTACCTGCACATTTCAAGTTTCCAGATGAGGCCTGGTTGGGCACTTGAGGTTTCTGTAGAGTAGCGAACCCCACAAAGCACACGAAGTATAGAACCCCTTACCACTGTGACCTCGGAGACAGCTTGGCCACCATCCCCCCAGGAAGCCTTTTGGATTCACTCTTCTCTCACAAGCTGACTGAGCTTCCCACCTTTGGTGCCCCTGAGCTTGAGGAGGACACAGCTTGCCTGTGGTGTGTGGCGCAGGAAGCCATCTTGACTCAGCCATTTTCTATTCTCTAACTTCATGCCTATGAGATCTCTTTCTTCATCCTTAGAGGAGAGATTCTGCTGGTCTCCTGCACAGGCTCACATGTGCTAAATGAAGGAAACTGGCGAGCAGCGTCTGGCCCGTTCGAAGGCAGGGCTTAGGTTTGGAAAATGAATAATGGGGGATTGTGGTTCCTTTTTTGGTCATCTGGTGAGGGTGCTGCCTGGGCTCACTCCATGTTGACAGGACATTTAGTGCCACTGTGGTGGGCTGTGGAGCTGAGAGCTGTGGCTACTGCCGGTGCCCACGACTGTGGTGCAGGTGTTGGGTCACCAGGTGGTGCTCATGCACAGCCTGCCAGCCAGTCCTGCCCTCCCAGGGCCTCTGCAGACCTTCAGGCCTCTCCTGCTTGGCAACCATTTTGGGGGGTCTGAAGCCTGATGATTGGAGTGGCCGCTTTAGTTTTCAGTTGTTGGCATGGCCAGGGTTCCAGTTGCCTAAGCTCAAGAGGCATTCTTACTTCTTTCCCACCGCATGACTCTTGAGGCCTGTTCCTTCCTCTACCCCTTTACTATCTCTGCATTTCCCCTCTTCTCTCCGTGGCCTCTACCAAGTTCATGGTGGGGGCTGGTCCAGGCTGCAGCAGCTTCCTTCTGATTAACTTCCAGCCTCCAGTCCATTCCTCCCTCTGCAGCTTGCATGATCCTTCTGGAAGGAAACTCTGCTCCCTTCATTTTTGCCTGATGCAGACTCAGCCATGGCTTCCCGTCACAATGGAGACAAGACGCAGGCTTCTCACACTGCAGAAGGTCTCTCCTGTCTCCCCTCCCTGTCTACCCTCTTCTCCTTGATTCTTCCACCTTTGGCTCCTCCTGAAAGGTCTGCATTTCCTCCCAAGCACCAGGACTTTTCCTGTCTCCTCTTCTTGTACCTGCTGCTCCCTTTGCTTGGAAACCTTCCTCTGCAAAGCTGCCATCTGCCCCCCCCCCAGCCCCCTCATCCCCCACCACCCCCAGCATGCTAATTTCAGCTTATCCTTGAAGCCTCAGCCTGTGTGCCACCCTTTCTGGGAAGCCTCAAGGTGAGTAGAGATGCACCTGCCCCAGAATCCCACAGCAGCCTATATTCCCCTGCCCAGCGCTTCCTTGATAGGTGTGGGCAGCAGCTTCACCGTTTGAGCACCGAGCCCAGGGCTGCTGCAGAGTGGGTGCTCAAATATTTGCCGACTGACTGTGAATTATGCACAAACACAAACCATAGTGGAAATTGAATCAGACATCCAAGGATTGCCTGTGGGGCTAAGGGGAAGCTTGACCTGCTTTTCTATSTGGGAGGAAATATTTGAACAACCTGAAGCAAATCCAATAACACTGCCTCATTACCTTTCCCCCCAAGAGCTGCCAGCAAGATTGCTTTGGAGTTAAGTCCTTTAATTAAAATACCCTGGACTAAAGCCTTAGAAATGAAATGAGGGCAGCCGCTGAGGCGCAGGCTTGGGGAATAATGGCACAGCCTGGATTTTCCCGGCAGGGTAGCCAGCTTGGAAAGACAAGCGGGTCCCTTGCAGCTTTGGCTGATAGGCAGCTCACCTTAGCAGCCTGGAGGTGCATGACAGAAGTCTGGTTCCAAGCCTCCTGCTGGTCAGCCCCAGATTGCGTGAGGGTCTGTAGATGATGCACCGAGTCCTCTATGAGCCTGAAAACCAGAAAAGGGTCAGCTTCTTGACTGACTGGGAAAGATAACCRGTAGCTATGGGGGGCCCTCAGAAATACAAATTCTGTTTAGGACTTCTTGTGTGTCATAAAGCTAAATGCTTGATAAACATTCTCTCTCAAGGAATACATTTCCTGTTTACAGTGGGGAAAACCTGAGTGTCAGAGAGGTTAACCAAATTGTCCAGGGTAACACAGCTAGTAAGTAAGGAGTGGAGCCAGAATTTATTTTTGTTCCTTTTGGAACCCAGAGGTGCTTAACCACTGAGCCACATCCCCAGCCCTTTTTAATAGAGATAGGGTCTAGCTAAATTGCTGAGGCTGGCTTTGAACTTTTGATTCTCCTGCCTCAGCCTCCCGAGCCATTGGGATTATAGGCATGCGCCACCACTATCGGCTTGGATTTTTTCTTAACCACCACATTTTAAAGCCTCAGAGATTTGGGCCAGGAGCATTCCCCTCTTTTTCATGCACATCCCAACCCAATACCAATGTTTTTAGGCCATTCTGTTGTTTGACTTTCTATGATCCAAGGAAGAAAACAAAACAAAACAAAATTTGTTAAATGTTAGTGAGGCCTGTTGGTCACCCAGCCTGCTGCAAGGAACCTAAAAACAAAACCAGAAAACTAACTATTGTCCTCCAAGACACTAAGTTAGTCATTTGCCATTATATTAACCTTTACTCCCCCTTTATTGTTTGTTTCCTGCATGACCATCCATAACCCTTGAAACTTGTGTATAAAGCAAACTGTTAAGCAATATTTATTTTGCTTTGTCAGGGAGTACATAAGCAGATGTCACTCTGAGTTCCAAGCAAAGAGAAACACAATGGCATCTTAATTACCCAGCAGTCTTCTTTCCCCCAGTTTTCCCAAGTGAAAGTCAGTTCTTTGAGGTCTGAAGGTTTATTAGTGTATGGATAGATCCCTACATCTTAGAACAGTGCCTGGCATATTGTAGGCACTGAATAAACATTTGTGGAATGAATGAATGAATGTCTCAAGTTCCTTGTGATCTCAAAATAACTATCAATCATTCCTGGGACCACAGGTTGGGATATGGGACCACTTATATAATAAAAATATATACTTTTTCCAGTTTGTTACTTTTGGCATTTTAGTGTTGGGCAGGGTGAGAAGCTTTTTCTTTATAGGTCATTAATTCTTTCCATCTCTCTGTTATGGTGTCTGTGTTTGTCTAGGCCTTCTCTTTATTCCAAGCTTGTAGCATATTTAGTCATTCCTGACTGGTGGGTACCTGATAATATTGGTTGAGTGACAGAATGGATGACCCCTTGGTTTTGTCTATGTTTTCTGAAGTCTATCAGATGCTGGAATTAAAACAGAGTCCATCCTCTGCTAGAGTCATATTTTAGAAAATTATTTTTAGATTATGGACTATTTTCCAATTTAGAAGGATTGCTGTATTTATTGTTATTGGTTTGCATATCAATATACATTGGTAGTATTTTCGTATGGGTATATTTGTTGGATTGTGAGTTATTCCAGGAATCTAAGGACTTTTATAATTTCTCTCATGCAATAGGAGCTTCGAGGCCTGGGGAGGCTAGGGGTGGGACTGGTTCTAGAGGCTCTCCATGAACATGCACTGAAGGCCCTCAGAGAGGAGGAGCCTACCTCCCCTCCCCGTGTAGGGTGCTGACTTCTCAGCGCTTCTCACCTGGCGGCTGCGTGTGCCCAGGCTGCAGTGTATAACTCTGGGCAGAGGAAGTCGGCTGCCTTCTGGGCTGGGCACCGGGCCAGGACAGGCCTGGCAAGATATTCGACAGACTGAGGTAGAGGCTTCTGTGGTGCAGAGTCTGGGGACACCTTGGCTTGCAGGTAGCTCTTTACCAGAAACCTGGAGGGTGGAAGGGGGGGTGGGGACAGGGGAGAGAATGGGGCTCTGTGGGGCACCCGCCACCTCAGCTCCCAGAGACACACATCACACATTCTTAGCCTGGGCTCCAGCCTTCCTGTGGAAGGACCTGGGCCCAGACCTCCACCCAGCTACCCTCTGAAGGGTTACTCCTCACCCCAGAGTCCTCTCCTGCCATCCTGCTGGGAGGACCTTCATGGGGGCACACCCCAGGCTTTAACAACGAAATGCGGCTGCAGGACTGGGGCAGACCTCTTCAGGTCCAGAACATAAACTCTTCTGAGATTCTATGCAAATTCAATCTTTTTGTGGGAATCTTGTGATTTTAGGATTTGTGATGACTTATACAGTGACTGTGGGAATTAAATTTTCTAAGTTGAAAGAAGGAGGATAGATACTGACGTGAGTGGGAAGATTATAGGTGACTCTGAGCTGCTGCGTTCGTCAATCCAGTGGTTACAGGTTCTGGCCTCAGGCAGCCCTGGACTCTCAGCCGAGGCCTTCGTGATGCTCTAGGATTGATTCACCTCCCTAAGTTCTCCATCTCTAGATGGGGATGATCATACTTACCTGATTGGGAGGTGGTTTATGAAACTGAAACATATTTATAAAGTGCTTGACACAGAGCTAGGCACAGAATGCCTAATGCACACTATTGTGTTCCATTCATAATTTGAAAAAGTAAACCTGCAAATGTTATGTATTAAAAGTATATCATGTCACATTTGCCAGTGAACTCCTTTCTCCATGCATACAAAAGTATTTGCCCCCTTCAGTCATCTGAGAATAAGTGAGTTTGAGAGGCTTTGTCAGCCTCAAAGAGGGTTGTAAAGAAAACACTTTTTTTGGAGTTGGGCATGGTGGTGCAGGCCTGTCATCCCAGCAGCTTTGGAGGCTGAGGCAGAAGGATCAAAGTTCAAAGCCAGCCTCAGCAAAAGCAAGGCACTAAGGAACTCAGTGAGACCCTGTCTCTAAATAAAACACAAAATAGGGCTGGGGATATGGTTCAGTAGTCAGGTATCCCTGAGTTCAATCCCTGGTACCTTCCTCCCCAAAAAAGAAACCACTTGGAGGCTGACTTGGCCATTCGCTCCTGCCTCTCAAGTTGGGGCCTCCTGTGTAAGATCTTCACTAAGCCTGGGATCCTGCATTGAGCAAAGCAGATATAGTCCCTGCCCTTGAGGAACTCCCAGTYGAGCTGAGGACCAGAACTAAAAGGTAAACAACACAAAAATGTAGACAATTATAGATTGTGTTCCAAAAGACAGCGTGTGCCACTGTACCTGGCTGAGTGGACAATTTTAAGCAAGAGAAAGATATGATATTCTGTAGGCTTTGAAAAGATCCCTCTTGGATGCCTGTGGTGAAGTGGGACCTGGTGGAAGCAAGGGACCCTAGGTGAGAGACGGTGGCAGCCTGATTTAGGAACAGTGCAGACGAGTGGATTTGAGACCTGTCATGGGATTTGGACAGCCTCCAAATGGTGCTTGCCAAAGCCTGTCCCTCCCTCTGTGGGCATCAAACAGAAACCTCAACCTGAGCAGAAGCCTGGACAGGGGCCTGGGCCAGTCTGGTYCTTACCTGGCCACTTGCAGGTAGAGCACTGTATTCTCACCCTCATAGGTACAGGAGGCTGTCACTTGGGTGACCAATGATGGCAAACCACTCAGCTTTGAGTAGCCGTGTCCCCCGCAGGCCCTGCGACACAGCTCGGCCCCCTGGGTACACAATTCAGACATCATGGCCTTCATGCCTGTGCTCAGTGCGTGGAGCTATAAGAACAGGAAGAGGTGTCAGGTGGTGTAAGGGGATCCCATGCCTCCCACTTACCGAACATTTCCGGCATGCTGAACACAACCCTGTGAGGTAAGGAGTGTTTCCTTACCTCACAGCTTTATGAATGAGAAGGCTGAGCTCCAGGCTGGGACTCACCCTGGGTCACACAGGCACTGTAGCTATGGGGCAATAAGAATTAAGGAAAAGCTTCCCAAACAGTGTCTCCAGGATCTTTGGAGAGGGTGCTGCCTGGATTGGGCCCACCTCCCTTCAGGAGGTGTACAGTTTGGAAAACTGACCTGTGAGGGTGAGTGGGGTGCAGTGGTCTGAATGTGTCTGCCCCAAATTCATATGTTGAAATCCTAACCTTGAAGGTGATGATATTAGGAGGCGGGGCCTCTGGGCAACAATTAGGTCATGAGGGTAAAACGTTCATGAATAGGATTAATGGCTGCTGTGGTTTGCATTGCCCCTCCAAAACCCATGTTGAAATGTAGTAATTTAAAAGTATTGGAGGTGGGACCTTTAAGAAGTGATTAGGAAATAATAAGATAACAAATAATCCAATCAACAAATGGGCCAAGGACCTGAACAGACATTTCTCAGAGGAGGACATACAATCAATCAACAAGTACATGAAAAAATGCTCACCATCATTAGCAATCAGAGAAATGCAAATCAAAACCACCCTAAGATACCATCTCACTCCAGTAAGATTGGCAGCCATTATGAAGTCAAACAACAATAAGTGTTGGCGAGGATGTGGGGAAAAGGGTAC